TCTCCTCCTATACCTGTCAGATCCAATTTGAAGGTACATTCAAAAAATAATAAAATAATTTTTTTTAAAAAAAACCATAATGAATTGTACATTGTTTGTACAAAATTATGTCACTCAGTTTCCAGCCTCATTTCTGTCACCAAGTTCATATTTTCCAATTACAAGTCCTTCTTTGTTTCCAACTTTTGCACTCCATGCACCAATTCTTGTTAACGCGTCTGCGGAAACGGGTTGAAGTCCTTACTTTCGGCTCTGCTTGCACAGTTGGTGCATATATTTGCATAATGCTGGTCCTCCTTTTGTGTGGGGATAGGGTCCTGGCGCTCACAGCACTGTCTCAGGATGGATCTTGAAGTGCTGTAGGTGCACCAGGCTTGTATCCTGCCTCCACCCTATTCAGTCTGTACGCTGAGCAAGTCATTCCAGAAGCTGGATTCAGTGGAGAAGAACGTGGCATCAGGATTTGGAGGTAGATTCATCAACAACCTGTGTTAGACAAATGATCCAAGTTTGCTTTCAAAACGTGAGGAAGACATAAAGCATTTGCTGCAGAAGATCAAAGACTCAATAACCTTCAGTACAGATCGCATCTCAACATCAAGACAACAGGCGTCCTCACCACTGGATCAATAGGTAACGTCAGGGTGGACGGAGAAAAGATTGGAATGAATGGTTTCATTTTACGTGGAGCCACAATGAACACCCCTGGTAACAGCAGGCAAGAGAGTCCTCGGCAAACCTGCTGTCCAGGCCCCTCTACGGTGCTGACAGGCAAGGAAAGTGGGTTAAAGTGTCTGATCCAGCTATCCTGACGTCAGCTACCTGCTGTGTATATGAGCGTCAGACAGTGAGTAAGGAAGACTGAGGCAGAATTGATGCCTTTGCGTGCGGCGGGAGAAGGGACCTGGCATCCTGTGGGCTGCCAACGCTGACAGGTCTGTCCTGGAAGAGGCTCCTTGGAGTCAAGAGTGGGACGCTGGTCTCCTCTGCTTTTGGCTTGTGGTCAGGAGGGGCCAGTGAGAGAGAGAGAAGACCCCCAACAAAGTAGACTGACCCAGTGACTGCAGCATGGGGCTTGACCATGCCAGAGGTGGGGGGGACAGGTGGGGTTCAGAGCTGCTGTACTCAGTACGATGAGTCTTGGCTGACTCCATAGCACCTGACAGCAGCACGACAAATGTCTGCTGGAATTCCAAGTCCTGCTTGTGGACAAGGTGCAGCAGTCAAGTACGTGGCTGCTATCTGAAAGGTTGCTGGTTCAAATTAACCCAGCGGCAACCGCGAGGAGGAAAACTGTGCTCTCGCGCCAAGAGTTGTTAAGTGCTGACACGGTGGGCACACAGTGTGCCATCCTCCTGGCCTCTCACTGTCCTGACGTCCCCCAGGCCCGGCTCTGTCCTCACGTCCCCCCGGCCCCTTACTGTCCTCACGTCCCCCCGGCCCGGCGCTGTCCTTGTCCTCACATCTTCACATCTCTGCAGGCCTGACCCAACCGCTGTGCCCACCGTGTCAGGTCACCCGGCCTTCCTCTCTCCCACCCACCACCTCTGTTACGCAGGCTCTCCTCCAGGCACTGACCGCTGCTGAGAATGTGCCCAACGGGCCACCTCACTCAGGCCGTGTTCTCCACTTCCAAAAGAGGATTTGCTTGTTCTCCTGGCAGACCACAGCAAGTCAGTGTTTTCCAGAAACACCGTGATCCAAAGGCAGAGACTTCCTCAGCCTTCTGCCCTCACTGGCCAGCTCTCCAGCTGCCATGAGCAAATGCCGTGTTTGGAGGCAGGCACCTTCCTCTTCCAATGAGGCCGGCTCTTCAGCACATTAGAGGGGGCCTTCCAGCAGCTCTGCCCAGGGCAGCGCTGTGCTCAGGAGTCACCAGGTTCACCCCAACTGACAGCAGCCCTGTGGACACTAGAACGAAAGCCGGCCTGGCCACCGGCCGCACCATCACCGCGGAGCTCAGGCCAGGGCCGCAGTCACTGGCCACGCCGTCTCATGGAGGGCTGTCGTCCCCTCCACTCCCTCACGGCTTTTCCCACACGCCATGTCCTTCTCCTGATAACACAAGGTGTGTGAAGCCAGGTCTCCCCACGCTCGCTTCTAACAAGCACAGCAGCTGCCCTCGCTCCAGATGGTGAGCTGGACGGAGCAGTCAGTACCTTCACCAGCACCACTGTCCAAAGGTGCCGGCGTCCTGCTGTCTTCCTAAGTCAGGGCTCAATTTTCGGATTCACAGGGAGCAACTGAAAAGACCTGGGTCAGGAATCTCTGTTTTTAAACCACCATCCTGGTTCTTTATCACTTCAGAGAGAGCTCATTTCTGGGCAGCTGCTGCTATTGCGACCGTTGGTTACGGATGCTCATAAAATTAATTCCTTGACAAATGGACTTTTTCTCCATTTATCATGACATTGCCCACTGGTCCATTTGTGGTGGTTTGTGTTCTCTCTGTGCTGACGTGTAACGCGTACTGAAGGTTGTGGTCTTTGTTTGTCTGCAGTAGGTGCTTCAAGTCTCCTTCAAGTGCCGCAGAGTTGTGCCATCTGCGTAACGCAGGTTGCGGATGAGTCCTCTGAGAATCCATTCTTCACGTCCAGCTTCTTTAACGATTTACTCCACAAACAGACGGAAAAGCTACGAAGGAGGCACAGGACTCCGGCACAACCTCACCTGGATTTTAAAGGCCGCAGTGCCCTGGACTTTGGTTTGAATGACCGCTGCTTGGCCTCTGTGTAACAGGGTCCAGCTGTGTTCTGGAACCCCCATTCCTCTCCAAGTCAGCCATGACCTAGAAAGAGCCACAGTCAGAGGCCTTCAGGTGGCAGAAAAAGACAAGCAAATATTCTTCAAATATTCTCTACTTTGTGTCAAGATCCACCTGACGTCAGCAGCGGTATTCCTTGTTACATAGTCTATTCTGAACCAACTTGAGTATCTCGCAGATTCCTGTTGACATATCGCCACAGCTATTTTTAATAACCTTCAGCAATATTTAACTACGTGAGGTATTAATTGTATTATTTTATGTCTGTCTTCTCCCGAATCACGTATTTTTCACTTTGCCCTTGTTTTTGGGAAACAAATTGAAACAGTTGACCAGGTAACTGTCATGCGAATTTCTTGGCATCAACTAGAGAGCACGTCCAGGGCTACATCTGTTTGTTGAAACATGTCTGTTGATCCTGAAATGGTTCCGTGTTGACCTTCATTTTGTACAGTGGTTCTGTGTATTCCTTCTACCTTCTTTTGATACTTTCAGCATCATTCAATACTTTGCCCACAGAATCCTTCAGAATTACGATTCAAGACTTGAATTTGCTTTTCAATCTTTCAGCTTGAGGAATGCCCAGCCAGTTCGGCCCTTTTGGTTTTCGGACTTCAGCTTCTTGTACATTTCTTTTCTTCTTCTTTTTAATTGTTGTGTGCTGTCGAATCGGAGAAGTGATTGGCACAGGAGGAGATTGCCCCTCCTTTTCCAGCAGAGCCTCTGGTGAATTTGAACCATGTGCCTTCGGGGTTGTAGCCTGGCTTCTTGCCACTAGGCCAGCAGAGCTCCCGGCTGCACGTTCTTTTCTCACTGTCCTTTGGCACTTTCTGCTCAGCTGCCCTTGTCATTTCTCACTTTTGCTTTAGGGTCTGTCTGCTCTAGAAACGTGGAGGAATTTCAGCGAGAGAGAGGAAGTGTCTCCCTGGGGCGGATGCCACAGAGACTACAGCAACGGGCTCCAGGGTGTGGGTCTGTGAGGACTCAGTTCAGATCTGCTGTCACGGGGTCTCTGTCAGTTGTACCCCGTCAGTGGCACCTCACAACAAGTCATAGATTACATTTCAGAGTCCCCTGATGTCATTTTCGTCCCTGTTCCTTTCCTGTCTTTTTAATAACCAATGCAGTTTCCTGACAGCTGCTTCAGAGGGCACTGGGTTCAAGAGGAAAGTGAAAGCCCTGGACGTTTGAGGTTTTCCCCATTTTCTCGAGACGTGGCTTACTGGCCCAGTCACGAGGATTTTTTCAAAGATCACCGCCTAGGAACCTCATGGGGCAGTTTGACTCGGTCACTTAGGTCCACTCAAGCAGGGCGAGGACAGCCCACCTGGGGTCCGTTGTGGGTTTTTTTTTTTTTGGTGTTGGTTTTTTTTTGTGGAGTCCCATTTTGGAATATGGTTTATTTGTTGAATTAACGAGTCCATATAGATGTAAGGTGTGTTTAAAACTAATCACTTTTGAGCTGTAAAAGCAGATTAGACACAAATCCCAAAATGGAGTAGATTCTGACTCGTGGGACCCTGTGGGACAGAGCCGAGGGTGAAGACAGATGGACCTAGGAGATTTCCAAGGATCTGCAGGCAGGTGAGTCTGGAGACTGAAGCCTGGCCTCCCGCCCACCACAGCCTTCTCCTGGGGGTGCCCTCGACTACAGAACCCGCCGCACTGCACTACTGAGACTGACACCTCCTGACCCTGCGCGCCTGGAAAGTGTTTGGGTCTCACACTGGTGGGCCACAGGAACCCTGCGCCCCTGTCCCCGCTTCTCCCCTCCTCTGCTGGGAGTACCGTTCACCCCTCTTTACTTGAGTGTCCCGTCCTGAGGGGGGGTCACTTCGTTAAATGCTGCAGCCCCGAAGGCCGCCGCCTGTTCCGAACATGAACTCACAGGTCTCACTCCCGCCACCCGCTGCTGGGCCAGGACCCAGAGCGTCTGGAGGGCGGGGAGGCTCCAGGAGCGCGGCGCGAGTAGGCTGAGGTCACAACTCCCCAGTCCCCACGAGGGAGCCCCCTGAACGCTCGCGCTGCGTCCAGAGAAGGGGCGTCCACGCACGCTGCAGTCCTGCCCAGCCGCACAGACCCCGGTCCCACCTGCTCCCCCCGAGATGCAGGGGAAGTGCGCCCACTGGGGTCGCGCGCCCGGCCCTGCTCCCTGCTTCCAGCAGGCGCCCCAGGGGGCGTCAGGTGAGGAGGGGCGAGCCGCAGGGCTGGGGGTGCTCTGCACTAGGGGACTCACCGCCGCCCTCGCTCCGCATGCCGATGGTGCCGCCCGTGTAGATGGCCAGGAGCCGCCGTTCAGGGTCCGACGCGCGCGCCATGCCGGGACGTGGAGACAGCGACAGCAGGGCTGTGCGGCAGCCGATCAGCACGCGCCGGGGTGGGGCAGGGAAGAGCGGATCAGGCGGGGCGGGGCCTCTGAGGCGGGGCCCGAAGAGCGAGCGCAAGACGGACCCTCTGGATGTACACAGCTCTCGCTCTGGGCGCCCTGTGACTCCGCCAAGTGCCCTGGTGACTCTGCTGGGCGCCCTGTGACTCCGCCAAGTGTCCTGGTGACTCTGGTGGGCGCCCTGGAGACTGCCGGGTGCTCTGGCGACTCTGCCAGGCACCTACATGACTCTTGTGGGCGCCCCAGTAACTCTGTCAGGTGTCCTGGTGACCCTAGTGGACGCCCTGGTGACTCTGGTGGGCGCCCTGGTGACCCTAGTGGACGCCCTGGTGACTGTCAGGTGCCCAGGTGATGATGCCAGATGACCTGGTTGTTCTGGTGGGCACCCAGGTGGCTCTGCTGGGCACACACATCTCTGCTTTTAAGATCTCCAGGAAAGTGGAAGTGACCATCCTGTCCTCCGGGGCAGCTGCCCCTGTAAAGCCCCAACTGCTGACTCCTTCCTTGGGATGGCACGGGACAGGAGGGCATGTGGTCCAAGACCACCACTCTCAGTAGACTCAAGTCCACCTTATCATTGTCAACAGAACGCACAGTTGGAGGTGGGTGGGAGCCCCAGAGGGTTTCAAGTCCAGGCCCACCTCCATCCACCACGTGCTGTGACTCCCAGTCCCTTCCTGAGTCCCTTGACAATGGGGACCACAGAGTGTGGGAGGTGGAGCTTCCAGATGAAGATAAGGAGCGGAACTGGCCATCCACTTTGAAATCACAGGCCTTCGAAAGTTCTGTGAACAGTAGAGGAATACTTCCAGACAGAGAGCTGGAGACAAAAGCCTCAGACGGGAAGCCCTTGACACTGAGGAGCTGCAAACATCCTTTAACAATAGAAACATGCAAGGTACAAAGCATGAATCTAGGAAAATTGGAAGTTGTGGAAAAATGAAATGGAACCCACAAAGATTAACATTCAGAGCATTATTGAGGTGAAATGGACTGGCATTTGCCACTTTGAGGCAGACAATTATATTATGCTGGAAATTAAAAATTGAGGAAGAATGGTGTTGCATTCATAGGAAAAAAAGACCATTTCAAGATTTGTCCTGAAGTTAAACTCTGTGAGTGACAGGATACTATCCATACATGACAAGGAAGAACTGTTAACACAACTATTATGCAAATACGTGCACCTGGCAAATAAAACCAAAGATGAAGACGCTGAGGAATTCGGCCAGCTTGTCCGGCCTCACACTGGTCAGATCGCATTAATAACTGCGGACTGCAGTGCCAAAGCTGGAAACAAAGACGTATCAGATTTCACAATAGAAATGAGATTACATAGAATTCTGCACACTTTATTAACTGAAAATGCTTTTTATTACAAACAGCAACTCTCTCCATGAACCCCACTGGACGGACCACAGAGGAACCGCACTGACTGTATCTGTGGGCAGAATTGTTAGAGGCTCAGGATCAGCTGTGGATCAGGCCACACGATGACCGTGCAGCCCATCATCAACTACTCGGTGCATTTTCAAAATGAAATGAAGAAAAGCAAAACAAGCCCACAAAACCCAAAACACAACCTGGGGCCAACCTCTCTTCAATTTAAAATCACGTCAAGAATAGGCTTGAAGGGAGCTCTGGTGGCCTAGTGGCAAGAAGCTGCACTGCAATCCCAGAGGAACACAGTTCAAATCCACCAGATGCTCTGCCAGAGAAGGAGGCGCAATATCCTCCTGTACCAGTCAGATCTGATTTGACGGTACACGCACACAAAGTAATAAAAGTTTTTAAAAAAAATTTAAAAAAAAAAGAAAGAATAGGCTTGAAGCACTGAGCACCAATGATGGGAGACCAGGTGGGCAGTGGAATGACCTCAAGCATCTCATCCAGGAAGAAAGCAAAAGGTCTGGACAAAGAAGAGGAAGCAAGGCCACAATGGATGTCAGAAGAGACTCTGAATACTGCACTAGAGCGCCGAGGAGAAAAAGCAAAGGGAAGGAAGCACGAAGCTAAGGAGCTGAACAGAAGATTTCAAAGGGCAGCTCAAGAAGACAAAACAAAATATTATAATAAAATGTGCAACGTGCTGGAGTTAGAAAATCTAGAGATGAATGAACTAGAGATTTCTCAAGATGAACGAGCTGAAAAACAAATTCAAGCCTCGAGCTGCAATACTTAAAGATGCTACGGGCAGAATGTTGAATGATTCAGGAATCATCAAAACAAGATGGAAGGAGTGAAAAAAAAAGATGGAAGGAGTACACAAAGTCATTATACCGAAAGAATTGGCTGACACGGAAGGATTCCATGAAATACGTGGTGATGAAGGAGAAAGTTCAAGCTGCTCCAAAGGACTTGGCAAAAAACAAGTTCCCCAGGAATTGATGGACCAATTGACATATTTCGACAAAACGATGCTGCCCTTCATGTGCTCACCCAGTTGTGTCCAGAAATCGGGAGGACAACTACCGGGCCAACCGGCTTGAATAGATCTATATTTATTCCCATTCCAAAAAAAGGTGATGCAACAAAGTGTGGAAATTATCAAACAATATCACTCCTATCACATGCAGGCAAAATCCTACTGAAAATGATCCAAAACTGACTGGAACAGTACATAGACAGAGAACTGCTGGAAGTACAAGTGGGGTTTAGAAGTCAGGGCACTGGGGTGTCGTATGAATCATGGCTGAGAGTCGACTGTAGAGTCATTCTGGGACACACAGGGTTACTAGTGGCTATGGAATCCATGCGAAAGGACTTGGCTACAATGCCTGAAAGCGGGCAAGCAATACCAAGAATGGATGGGACCGAAAGCAGCCTCATGCTCCCTGGAGCATGTACCAACATGAACGAGATCTCAAAGTTCTCTGTCAGACAAAGACTATTTTCTAAAGTTCTTGATAAGGTTGTTAAGAGTGCAGTAAGACCCTGTTCATGGGTACAAAGATGTTTTCTTGAAAATTGTTCATGCTTATCTATGCTTTGTTTCATACTACCTATGATGTGTTAAACATTTACCTACTCTATGAGATCACGTTTTACTGTAAACTTTGATTTTCTGCTAATAAAAGCAGGGGCTTCACAATATCTCAGCGTCATTTGCCTGAGAGAGCGGTGACCCTCTGAAAACCCACATTTCTTCTCGCTGGTCTTCTCTCAACTCTGCGTGCACACAAACACATAGTACCAGAGGAATGTCTGTGCTTTATCAGTTATGCAAAGGTATTTGACTGTATGGTTCACAACAAATTGTAGCTAACATTTAAATGAATGGACGTCCCAGAACACCTGACTGTGTTCATGTGAAACTTATACCTACACCAAGCAGCTGTTGTCCAAACAGAGCAAGGGAACACTGCATGGCTCAGTATCAGGGAAGGAGTGCGTCAGGGATCCATCCTATCTCCACACCTTTTCAATCTGCACGCAGAACAGATCATTTAGGAGGCTGGCTTTTATGAAGAAGAGTGTGGCATGAAGATCGAAGGAAAATTCATCAGTAAAAATCCACATTATGCAGCTAACACAACTGTGCTCACCAAAACTGAGTAGGACTTGAATTGTAAGCTGCAGAAGATCAAGGACAGCAGCCATCAACATGGATTGAAGCTCAACATAAACAAACAAACAATAAAAAAAAAACCACAAAGATTCTCACCACTGGGCCAATAGGAAGCATCATGAGAGATGGAGAAGAGATTGGTAACAATTTCATCTTGCTCAGATCCACAATCAACACCCTCGGCACCAGCAGTCAGACAATCAAAAGGGAAGTTGCATTGGAAAAGTCTGCTGTGAGGAACTTCTCCAGGGTGCTAAAGAGAAACAATGTCCATCTAGACAGGTGATTCAGGCCATAGTCTTCTCAATTGCTTGCTATGCATCTGAGAACTGGGTAAGGATGACAGAAGAATCTTCGTTTTTTATTTGTGGTGCTGGAGAAGAGTATTGACTATACTATGGACTGCCAAAACAAACAGGTCTGTCCTGGGGAGGGTGGAAACAGATCCCTTCTTGGAGGCAACGATTTTGAAACTCTGTTTCACCTAGTTTGGGCATGTTGCCAGGAAGGGCCAGTCCTTGGAACGGGACCTATGAGGCTTGGAAGGGTATAATATTGGTGCAGGAAAGTAAGGTCCTGGATGAGATGGCTTGACACAGTGATTGTGTCAGTGAAGTCAGTTGTGTCAGAGATGGTGAGGTTGGCTCAGGATGGGGCAGGTCTAGTGTCATTCACAGGGCTGAGATGATCCTAAGTACACTCAATGTACATAGCAACACTAGGTTGTTTGTTTGTTTGTTTGATTGTTTGTTTCTTTGTTTTTCTTTCAAAAGAAAGAAACTGAAGTTGATTAGACGTTAACAGACTGTGAATGGGTCAGCACAGATCCTGTTTTTTTTTTATCTTACAAAAGGGTTTCTGTATCTTTTGTTTGGGGAGTGGGGTTTAAACAGCTGATTAGTGCATTCCTTCAATGGATATGGAGACTGGCCATCTCCTTTATCTTGTACTTGAGTCTGTGGTTTGCCACATTCCTTGATAGTCTTTTTATTGTAGTATAGTCGCATTCCTTGAGGGTCGGTTTCTATTGTTACATTGCCACAGTCTTTGTAAAAACCAGTTCTGGTTGATCTCCTTTGTCAGCGTGTCCTTTGCCATTCCCTGTCACTCTCCCCTGAGAGAGACTTCACCCTGATTCATTAGGAGGGAGACATCGCATTCTCTTAGCTATTTCCTGCTGGAAAAGGGCTTGTAGGTTCTAGGGGAAGATCTCTCACTACTCTAAAGGGCCCCCTTGGCAATAGGAAACATGCAGACTACTGTAGAAATTGATTTTGGAATTTAGATGCACTGCTATCAGTTGTGCTTAGGGGTACAGGTTCATATCCTTGGAGGTGCATCATTTTAATATGGAACTGTTGCAG